CACCTCTGTCTCATCATCAGTCTCTTCACCACGCTACCACTCTCACCTTCATCTTCGCCATCATCTTCATCTTCGTCTTCGTCTTCATCCTCTGAGGCTTCCACCCATTCACTTTCAGATGCCTGCAAATTTTCAGGGATAAGGAAGACAAAAGGTAAAATTTTGCTTTTACTTTAAAGATTCGGTTTCAGTATATAAATATAGAAGGTGCCCGGTGAAGGAGTTGTGGAGAGGAGAAAACTAGTAAAAAGTAGCATCCTTTTGTGTTCTTAACAAGGTATCATCCTATTTGAACATATATTGGGATGTATGATAATTATGATTCGTATACAGTCCATTTTGAACATTTTGCTTGATTTGGTCCCCGAAGTGATGAAACTACTGCTTATGTCTTTATCTGCCTTTTTGCTTATTAAATTAAATGACATTCACGTACAAAAAAAGGTGAATATGATAAGTGATAACCCACACAAAAAGATGGAAGCTGTAAATTTATGAAAACTCAGATAGGTACATTCAAATATTAATTAGATTTTCGACTACTAGTTTGCACAATGAATCATATTAATTCCTGGTTAATTCCTTTTATTCAATCTTGTGTCCATTTTTATTTATAAATTTTAAAATATTAAAATTTGAGGATAACAACGAATAGCTAAAAATTATGAGGTCGTCCTCGCCTCTATAGTACCCGATCTGTATTAGTCGGTCAATAGATCGGATACCGGTGATTAATTCAAAAAAAATTATGAATGGTTCATCTTATATGAGACGTTTTTACGTTATACAAAATAACTTTGTGAATTAATGTAAAAACCAAGGTTCCTTTTATATATTTTGTTGTTAAATTTAATACTTTACCATCTTATTTTATATACATAACTGAAGTATTATTTTGTAATTTTTAATAATTTTTAGAATTCGTCTAAAGATCAGGTTCTTTCATAACTCCATAAATTTGCACTTGTAATTCCTACAACTTATTTAATTTGTCTTTCGTTTACTTTATAAATTGTTTTTTTTATAGGTCATAAGTTTGAACAGTTGCATCTGTAGAGTGTATATGTATTATCAATTGTTAAGAAAGATTCTGAACAGATACTGATGTATAATCACCTCATACTGTTTGAACGGTAATTAAAGTAAGAATTCTTTTTTGTTTGACAAAATTAAATTAAGATTTCTCGCGACACCGCACATGCTTTTTTGTTATGATTCAAACTTTGCAGGCCCTAAATATATATATATATATATATATATATATATATCTTTGGTTATTAATTTTCTTTTTATAAGTTATAGCATATCTTTGAAGCTGCCATCTCTCATGAAAGGTACGTGGATTCTGAACTTTCTCCTATGATTCTCTTTTCCCAATGCGGAGAATCATAACCGTTGATTACGGATTCAAATGATAATCGTAGCCGTTGTTGGAATATTAGTGGGGGAGTAATCCACTTTTAGAAACGATGACAACGACAGAGGATTTTTGGGTAAACTACTCCAATGGTCACTAATATTTGGATAAGTTTTCGTTTTCAGCACTAATGTTTTAAAAGTCATAAATCGATCATTAATGTTATCGTTTGTTACAAATTGGTCACTCGTCGTTAACAGGCGTGACGGAAAACACACGTGGACTGTTAACAACCGTTAACATGCTTACCTGGATGGTATAATTACACAAATAGTCCATGTTATTTATATATTCTTTCAATTTGATCCTAGTTTTAATAAATTAAACTAAATTTACCTACGAATCAGGAGGTGTCATGTGTTATTGGTTACACACCTGTCATGACACATGTTATTACACGTGTCACCCTCTGATTGGTAGAAATAAATATATTAAATAAAAAATAAATTTAGTCTTTTAATCAAATGATAACATGTGTCATTACAGGCGTGAAACCAATGACACATGACACGTCCTGATTCGTAGGTAAATTTATTTTAATTTATTAAAACTATGATAAAATTGAAAGAATATATAAATAACATGGACTATTTGTGTAATTATACCATCCAGGTAAGCATGTTAACGGTTGCTAACAGTCCACGTGTGTTTTCCATCACACCTGTTAACGACGAGTGACCAATTTGTAACAAACGATAACGTTAGTGATAGGTTTGTGACTTTTGAAACATTAGTGCCTAAAACGAAAACTTATCCAAATATTAGTGACCATTGGAGTAGTTTACCCTTTTTATCTAAATATACCGAAAATTTTCTATTATTGAAATTTTATTTTTTTTTAAATGATATCCATTTAACAAAAGCATTTTTTTTTATAAGAATTTAACTATAACGTTAATAATTATTTAATTTTAACTATTTTAAAAAATACTCAAAATATATGTCATCATTTTAGTACTACTCGTAAAATTTTTATTTCGTATTAATAATATATCAAATAATAATTCTATCTCATAAAAGGCATAACCATATTATAAGTTTGCCCTTTCTAAAGTTAAATGGTCCATAACTATATAATTAATTAATGAAATTTGGTCAGATTTTGTTGGGAAATCTGAAAGCTACATTTTATATTTTTTTCAGATACTTACCGTTCCTCCATTTATGAATGATATAATTTCTAAAAATCATATTACGGTTCCTCTATTTTATATAATTAATTAATGTAATTAATACTATTATTTGATGGCTAAAAATCATATTATTAGTGTAGATAAAATTCACAAATAAGGTTAGAATTACGACAAGTGCTCCTTGTGAATATTAAAGAAAATCAAATGAATATTCATATAAAATTAGTATAGTTGTTAAATTTTAAAAAACAATTGCGAACGGTGTTTCGTTATATGATAGTTCATATGACAGTTTAGGCTGTCAGTGGGAAGGGTGGAAGGATGGGCCTACGTATCAAAGCAGATGGTTTAACAAACTATCATTAATTGGATGCAGGCCACTGGGCTTTCATTTCTTAACCACATATAACCCACGCCTTCTGGCTTTTTTTTTTCATTTCGGTTTTAAGGTTTCGTCTCAAGTAATTCGAATTGACTCACGTTGCACACCTGACTTTGGAGGGTGAGACTCCATACACATTGGTTTTCTGGCTCCTTCTTTTAATTATAAATAATGTATAGTAATTTTTGGATAAACTACACAAATGGTTCCCCGTTTATAGGATATTACTTTGTCGAGTCTGTCAACTATTAAAAGTTAAAACATAATCCCCTGATTATAAGACGTTGTTTTGTTGAGTCTCTCGACCATTAAAAGTTAAAAATGGTCTCCTGACTATAAGATGTTGTTTTATTGAGTCTCGTGACAATTAAAAGTTGCAAAATTGTTACCAGACTATTCATATGTTCTAAACTCGCCATTTTCCGTTTAAAGACTGATGACTTTCTGAGCTGGGCGTTAACCTGTTGATTGAGATATGATAAAATCATATTTTAATGATGTTTAGTGGCACTGTCGTTGCTTTCAAGCACTGGCTCGACGACATAATATTTCAAGCATTGGCTCGACGACATAATATAAACTGAGAATCGATCTACAAAATTCATCTCATACAGTTATGGGGTAATATTTTATCATATCTCAATCAATAAATTAACATCCAACTCAGACGAATACTAATTTTTTTACTGAAAAAGATGAGTTTGGAACATATAAATAGTCAGATGACTATTTATAACTTTTAATAGTGAGAAAATCAATAAAACAGTGTCATATAATCGGAAGACCATTTGTATACTTTTGTATACTCAACGACATAATATTTCAAGCATTGGCTCGATGACATAATGTAAACGGAAAATCGATGTATAAAATACCTCTCAAACGGTTCGGGGATAATATTTTATCATATCTAAAATAATGAGTTGGTAGAGCACAAGGTTCTTAACCTTGAGGTCATGGGATTAAGTCTCACGGAGGGCATTTCATAATTCGGAGGTCTCTTACGGAAGCTGCTCTCAACCTAGTGTTGGGGGTAGCCTACTATCTTACCTCCCCTTACCTCATACATATAGGAAAAAGGGACAGCCATACGAGAATTTAAAATCTTCATTGATAACCCATTCAATTCATTCGGGTTACAATACTCTTCAACACTCTTTTAATGCTCATATTGAGGTATGTTTGACTGTTCTTCAACCTCTTTTTGGTGAATCAAAAAGCAGTGAAAAATTAACAAATAAAGGCAAAAGAATCTTATACTTCTCAGCTTCTTTTTGGTGATGAGCATCGAGACGAGGTCGGGTTTAGGATATAAAATCTTCATCCGATTTAAGATAATAATATAATTATTTTTCATACTCTTAAGAATAATTACTATACTATTATATATATATATATATATATATATATATATATATATATATTCAATTACAATCTTATTTTATCGAATAAAAATAATTTTTTATGTTTGTGTCAAATCAAATCGATTACGGACATTAACTCTTAAAGTCGGATAACTTTTAAATCTGATTAAATATTCCTAAATTCATATAGAACCGAATGTCAAATTAAAGTGTATAATATTCTGATCATCGTCTATATTATAGTGATGTTTTCTCGTTCATAATACAATAGTATAATTTAAGCTTAAATTAAAGTTAAATATTAAAATAATATAATTTTTATGATAGAATGATATAATTAAAATTTAAACTAAAATTCAATATTAAAATAGTATTTTTTTTTAATTTAATGGTATATCGACAAATCCTAAAATGCAACTTTGTTAACAACAACACTATACGAGAATGAAGAGCAACATTAGTTTAATACGTAATGATAATTAATATTTATCCTAAAATTACCCAAACTTTCATTTTTGCTAAATTTATATGTTAATATTCAAATAAATACGAGAAAAATTCGTACTAAACACTCTAAACCGGATTAGATAAGCCACAATCTAAAGACACGCCGGGTCGGCCATCCAACACGACCACCATTTGCTAGCTCGACCGCGGCAGGTTTCACCATACGGTAACTCGAGTTCGAACCAGAACTGATATTACCTCTTTTGAAATCCTCGTCCATGTAGACTCGTCGCTCCATTTCGTGTCTCTCGGTTATGTTTCGAAGATTCTGTCTCTTGATCAAAGAACCAGTTTTTTATTACCCCGATCTTTTCTCCGACGAATTGCCACCGGCACCGCCTCTAACCCCATAAGCTTTGCCACCACCCCTGGTTCGCACCAAATCACGGGTTCGCCACCCAAAGTTGACGGCAAACATGAAGCTTTGTAATACCTTTCTCTCAGTCCATAATCGCAGCAAACCGAGTTCCTTCCGTTGATAAATTCAGGGTTTTTAAACGACGACCGATACATGGAATCTTTCCCGTCGAGGGAGAAACGAGGGTACTGATTCAACGCATTCCTTGCAGATCGTAAGACGTCGGAGTTGTTAACACACGACATCCGACCACCTCGAATATCGTTGTAATAATATTCGTTCATCTTCGATTTTCTAGCAAGCTCTTCTTCCAACTCCAACCTTAAGATCATCTCCTCCAACGTAGTCGGAGGGCTTTGTGAGGTCGTATTCGACGCAACCACCGACTGCGGAGTGACAAAATCCGACGGAGCAAAAACTTTGACTCCCACGTGGTTCTGGTTGAGAGTGGAGGTGGAGCCATCACCGTTGCAAAAATTACGAATCCCTTTCTTCATCTTGGCGCCAGCCGAATTCTTAAAAAGAAAGAAGGATAGATCTTTCATGGTGTGGATGAACACAGAAGGAGCAAAATGAAAAGGAAAATGGAGATTAATATGATCACAGAACAAAGGGCTTGAATTGAATCCAACGTTCTAGCAATTGGTAGATAAAACGTGAGTGGATTAAATTAAGAGCGGTATGGTTGAAGATGTCGGATAATAAATAGCTTTAAAAGAGATCACATGACGAATGATTATACATTTTCACAGGTTTCGTCTTCAACTTCAAACAAAGCTCTCAATGAATCATTTACTCTAGAATTACAACTTGTTATAAAAAGCTCCTACAGTACTTTCATTAACAGCTTATAGTATATAAGAATATTAATAAGTGAATACCGTCCATTGAATTTTTAGAACCTATCAAACGACCACCGTGATAAAGAGAGTTTTTTTTCCTTAATGATCTCGAATTTAAACAATTATATCTACGATAAGTGTGCGTTGCGGGACGTGTGTTTTTAATGGCATATATAAGAAGCATCACAAAGTCTAAACCTATGATCTTGTCAAAAATTAGTGAGCTAATCCATTTCAGCTAATTTACTGTAAACAGATATGAAAATTCTCAAGCATTCCACTCCAGTCCTTAAGTCAAGCTTTGTCTAAAAGAATAGAAAGGGGAATTTTAATCCCATAACATCTAATTCCGAAATTTTTGAATAAATATGAATAAAAAAAACAGAGAAAATAAAAATTCCCCATGAAAATTCTCATCAGAGAGAAAATGCCTTATGTCTTTCTCCTGAGACGCTTCCTCGGCTTCTTGTATTTGTGCTTGTTCATCTTCTTCTTCATACTATCTGCCCAAACTGTTCCATCATTATCATGCTCAGTCACTGCTGCCCCCTCCTCGATCTCCACGGTAGCCGATGGATTAAACCCAACTGAGCTAATGGGATTCAATAAATACCCAAATGGGAAACTTGGTTACAACTTCAAGGGTTCAGTAGATTTGCCATTTTCAAGGGATTTTTCAGGTTTGGTTAATGAAAAATGTTGGGTTTGCTGGGGAATAAGTAAAGGACTAAGTTTCGAGAGTTGATGTTGATGACTTGATGTGGGAGATTTTTTGGGGCTTTGGGAGATAGATTAATCTTTGAGTTGATTTGTTCTGGAAGAGTTTGTGGATGAGATATGCCATTTTTGTATAGAAGAAAGAAGGTGAAAGAAGTGAGCTTGAAGCGAAAAAATAATTGCAGAAAGTTGGGATTTTGGAACTAATTTTCTGATTCGATTCTTTGAGGTTTACGAATTTCAAAATTAAAACAAATTGCCCCCACGCAGGATCGAACTACGGACCTTCAGTTTACAAGACTGACGCTCTACCACTGAGCTATAGGGGCCTGTTGGTGTTGCAAGTGTATATTTTAAATATATCAACAAATTCAAGTGGGGGCGGTAAAATTGAATAGTGGAAGCTAATCACTTGCGCCATGGACGACTAGGAAGCTCCCTTCTTTTAATCCTTTTGGGTTCGTAAAATGAAGATTTAATCTTTTGCTAATAAATTTTAAACTATTCTTACTCTACTTGACTGCAGCTAATACAAATGCTTTAAAGCTGAGTTGTGAACATCTTAAAATGTGGGCTCATACTACAGCTGGTTATCGCTACTAGTTCCGAAAGGAAACATACGGGCTTCTTGCATGTTTTTTTGTAGCCTTTTGCTTTGCTAGTTCCTAGTTGACTATGTTCTGCAAAACTGGTAGCTGAAAATGACACAGAATTTTATACGTTTCTCATTCATCGATCTTGTCTATATTTTCCATTTGGCTAATTGTCATAAATAATGCCTGATATTTGATATTTTCTTCCCTCAGCTTTCCATGGTCCATTGACTGTTTAATGGAAAAATAAGCACGGACCTGGAGTTATTTGATTGCTGATTCAACTTCATTTGCCCAACAAAACATTAACACTAAATAAACATTAAACATGAACTGTTGACATCCTTTTTCTTCTAGCATGATCATTACCTTAACCTTGTCCGACATTATCATTATTGACTTGATTAGCTTGGGTATCGATTTGAGACAACATGCATCTGACATCCTTACTGTTTGGTCTCTCCTTGGGATCATCCAAAGTGCAAAAGTAAGCAATTCTGAGGACCAACATCATTTGTTCATCGTACCCTATTCCCAGAAGTTTAGGATCGATGGCTTGGCTGGGATTTTCCAAAACCAGTTTGTTTCTCATCCATTTCACCGGGCTCACTTCATCAGTTTGTTGAAAGAAATCATCAGATGGAAGCTTTCCTATCACCAGAACACCGAGTGTAATCCCGAAGCTATAAATCTCGCATTTATCAGTGAACTTGAGTGTTTGGTGATATTCCGGGTCTATATATCCGACTGTTCCGGCCAAATTCGCGGTGGTTACATGTGTCTTTGCATCAGGCATTGCTTTTGCAAGCCCGGAATCCGCAATTCTACCTTCCATATCATCGTCAAGAAGGATGTTTGCCGGTTTCAAATCTCTGTGAATTATCCGGGGACTTTGCTGCATGTGAAGATATTCAAGTCCTGCTGCAACTCCTGATGCGATCTTTTGCCGAGCAGGCCAATCGAGCTCCCTTGTACCTTCGGAAACTTGACGCAAAACATCTTGTAAACTTCCGTTCTTCAAGAATTCGTAAATGAGTAAATGACAGTCAGGTCGAGTGACATGAGCCAACAAAGAAACAAGATTCCGATGTCGAATTCGACCTACAGTGGTGATCTCCGATCGGTTTTGACGCAATTTCTTGTTCAGAATGTTGCTATCTTCAGCAGTCAAATCAGCTGCATCTTTTGGAGGCTGAATGATCTTCTTAATAGAAATCATTTTTCCATTACTTCCCGGCAATTCGGCTTTGTAAACTTCCCCACATCCTCCTCTGCCTATGACCTGCAATGAATCCAAGCCATCGTCTTTCTCCAGAAATGCTAAATCTTCAGCTCTCTTTATCAATGAACTGAATATCGATGGACCCCAATCTTTGCCTCTTCCTTTAACAGCTCCAATGACCAGCTTAAACATCACTGAGAAAACAAATCCGGACACAACATCCTAAGATCATCAATCGATTCTGAATAAATGCAGAAAATCAAAAGTTAACATGGAATCCGACTGTAAACTGATATTGGGGTATTTTCAAAGTGAAACATCGAAAATTAACTAACCCATACTGATTGCCTTCATGCATAAGTCTCTGATTCAGTCTCTTTATCAGCAACATGTCAAGTCATTACACCACAACAACATTTTTTAAATTTAAATTTATTTTATATGACTATTTTTAATTACATTAATTAGAACCAATCAAACGATAACAAATGTTATCATATGATTAGTTTAAGAATAAAAAGGAGGAAATTAAAATTTGCAAATTACTAAGGATTGAACTTGAGTCTTGTAGATAGGTGTGTAAATGATCAGGACGTTCGATGAATTGTTTAATAAATGAACAAACGCAAACAGAGGTGTGTTCGGTTCGTTTATATTCACGAACAAGCTTGTCTATATAGTTCATGAGCAAGCTCGTCTATATGTTCATGAACAAACTCGTTTATAAGCTCATTTAGAAGCTCGTTTATTTTTTTTATATATATTTTAAATATTAGTGAAGGTACATACTAAAATGAATACATAGTAAAATTTTGAGTTTAAACTATGAATCGTAAAAAGTTTAAGCATCAATTGTGTAATTTACCATTTTTCCCTAATTGTAACAAAAAAAACCCCTTTTCCTTATCTTATTTTTTCCCTTTCCAGCCATTCATCTCTTCCAAGCTTCCTTTTCCCCTTTTTTTCCACGGGATTTATCAAACCCTAAATTATCATCTGTGTTGAGATTTATCAAAATCCTAAGCTTACGTTAATCTCTTTACAATAGTTTTCATTGTTGGGTATATAAGATTTCCTTCTATTTCACTGATGCTTCTCTCTATTCGATGTTGGTAATAATCAGATAAGATTTCCTTGTTAGATTCATGTTTATCTTCCTTTTCTCTTTTTCTTTTGGTAAGATCTTCGTTGCTAGAATTTTAGTTGCCTTCATTGGTGCTCTCTTTGAATTCTGCAACTCCCTTCCCTTCACTTTCTTCATAGAAAATTGAAAAGGCATTTTTAATCCCTTTGTTTCACTTTGTTCTTAGAAAATTTGTTTTTAATCTCTTTCTATAAGATTTATTTCTGATCCTACTAAAGTCGCATAAAAATAATTTTATAATGTAAATTCATGTGATTGATGATATCAACAAATTAATTTTAAGAAATTGGATCTATGTGAGAAATTCCATTATCATTGTGAATTATCAATCTATAAGAAATTGTTTCTATTGTTAAATCCATCAATCTATTATAATCTGTTTTTTGTTTCTATTGTAATTCAAACTATTTACATATTTTGTCTCTTCACTAAAATATATGTGCGGTGTTAACCTAAAGCTGCTCTTGTTTGTATATGTTAATTTTATCTTGCAATTGAAATTTTTGCATCAGGTGGTGATTCTGTTTAATTTGTTTTTTTTTAACATTTTTTATCATATATAAAGAAACATATTCGTAAACGCTAAACGAATATGTTCACAAACGTTATATGAACCTTAAAAGAATATGTTCACGAACGTTAAGCGAACGAACATAAACACCTTCAAAAATAAATAAACGAACACGAATTAAACATAAACACTTTTAAAAATAAATAAACGGACATGAATATGGTCTTGTTGTTTTACATTCCTATTGATGGATGATGTAATTTAACAATTAAAATGTCCTTCTCAATTTAATAAGAAAACTGTGGATCCACGTTTGTTGAGAGGAAGACATTTTTGGGTGTGATTTATTTAAAAACATAATAAAAAATATTAAATTATTGAGATGCTACGATAAACTATGATTAAGAAAACGGGATCAAAAATAAAAATATATAAATTTAGGCTGTTATATTGTATTTTGTCAACTTGCAACCACAACAATAGTAAGAATGAGATATAAAGAAAAGTTCAAAAGAATATTTTGAGTAATATTAAGCTAACCTCTAATCTCCTTGGTAACATGTACAATTAAAATAACAAATAAAAGTGAAAAGTCAACTGCATTAGTTGCCAAATAGATCTCAGTATAACCAATCTTAGTATTGTCAACGCTATGTTTAACATAAATCACAAGCAACAATGTCTTTCTCCTTTAACGTGGATCCATAAAAATCTGCACCCATTAGCCTGTTCTTCATGGAGTCCCGCTTAGATTTCGTGAGTGAAGATATTGAGAATGAAAAAGAATACGAGTTTGAGAAATCATTCAAGCAGATGATATCGACTCTCCCCAAAAGAAAGAGCTGGGGTAATCGTGAAGATTTTTATCAATATCAAGGCTTTTGGCTTCACCCCACTTTCCTCAAAGGAGTTGTGTCAGCTCAACAACGATTCCAGGCTCAACCTACTGATACCATCCTCTGTAGTATCCCTAAAACCGGCTCAACCTGGTTAAAATCCCTCGTTTTCGCCATCCTTACGAGAACTTCGTTCGATGATTCCACTACCCCTTTGCTTTCCAAGTTTCCTCATGAGTTTGTGCCTTTCATTGAGCTTTCTCATGCAGATCTTCCCACTTATCCTGATATGGGAATTCCTGTGTTGGCCACACATGTTCCTTACTCTTCCTTACCCACATCCATAATCGATTCCGGTTGTAAACTTGTTTACATTTGCAGGAACCCCAAGGATTCATTTGTTTCATTGTATCACTTCAACTCCACGATCCTAACATCCCAGAATGCTCAACCCCCTGGGCTCGACGAGGCGTTTGAGTTGTTTTGTGAAGGTGTGAGTATCTATGGACCTTATTGGGACCATGTTTTGGGGTACTGGAAAGCAAGCTTGGAACATCCCAATAAGATTTTGTTCTTGAAATATGAAGAGATGAAACATGATACTATTTCGTATGTTAAGAAACTGGCGGATTTCATCGGTTACTCTTTCTCGTCAGAGGAACAACAAAAGGAGGTGCCTGAAAAGATTGTAAAGATGTGTAGTTTCGAGAATTTAAGCAACCTGGAAGTGAATAAAAGAGAGGAAATGTATATGGGAATGATTCAACACAAGATGTATTTTCGGAAAGGGAAGGTTGGGGATTGGAAGAATTGTTTGACATCTGAAATGGCACAACGATTGGACCAAATAACACACCAGAAACTGAGCGGTTCAGGTTTAAGTCTTTGAATGTTGTACAACTGCTTCATAATATCCATTTTTGAAGCTAAGAGTAAATGGTGCAGAGTTTGATCTCTGTTTTACTTCCCTTTGAATAAAGATTGTGTTTAAACCTGATAATGTAATTTGAGAAAACGGTGAGAAGTTTCAATATACTACGAGCAAAAGCGTTGCATTTGCAAACAAATTAGTATATTCAAACATGTACATGCCAAGAACAAATACTATTGCTGTATGGAAGCGTGTTAAGTGTGAATTTCATGTTAAGCTTATATGAACGTCTCATGAGTGAACCATATTTGAAATGTATATATGATATAATTGTATTTGTTCACAAACGTGCATATTTGGAGGCCTTTATAATGCGATATAATTCGCCATAGATTAGGATCCACACCAGCCGGTTCACCTAGGCGCCGAGCACAAGCGCTCGAGGTAGAGAAACAACGATTCTTATCCCATTTTCAGCATGGCTGATCATCCCCACCCATGGAACTGGAATCTCACCCAATCACCAATCACCATTCTCTCCAGAATATCCTGAAATCATGCAGTGGTTAATTAAGGGACCAACATCACCCAGTCAATCATCCTTCCAGAAATCCACTTTCAACCCATTGCCTAGATTTCAAACGAGACCAGTCTGTCGGCTACACAATGTTCAGTCCCCACCAAAGACAGAGCAACCACTCCGATTCAAAGTATCCGGTAACATATCACCCCATTTATACTTTGATCTCAGTATCCTCACCCATAATTGGTCCTTATTAGCAACAAGGCGATAGGCAAGTTTCGTTAAAAATGCCTCATTTTGAGTCGACATCCGCTTGACGCCAAGGCCGCCTTCATCGATCAGTTTGCACACTTGGTCCCATAATACAAGATTGATACCTCTCTTTTCGTCAGAGTGACCCCAAATGAAACTTCGAGTTAAACGCTCAATTTCAGCACAAACACATTTCTGGAGATAACTTGTTTTGTCTAACGTATGATAGTAATTTATCCAGAACCGATTTGATAAGCATAACTCTACCTGCGAAAGACAGCGATTTCGCTTTCCACCCCCGTAAGTCGATCTTGAACTTTTTGAACAAGGTACTCGTAAATAGCACGAGTAACTCTCTTATGTAGAAGAGGAACTCCCAAATATTTACCCAATAATTAAAATATTAAAAATATCACTATTAACATTTAAATATATAAACCATGAATTTTATTATAAATACATAATTGAGTGGAGTTTATGTATTAATAAAGATAAAATTATAATTTGATTTTAAACGTAAAGTTGAAAATGAAAAAGTTATAAATCTTAACTTTTGCAGTTGGTTTGAAATTATCGTTTCCAACGTAATTTTTTTACTCGTTTGACATTGATTTTACGGTCAAAACAGGGTTTTTAAATTAAAAGTACTATTATAAAGCATTACAAAACGGACTCTAACTTTTTTTAAAGGTTCTTATAGCTTGCAAATCAATCCTCACGTTCGTCTTATGGTTTTAAATTCCAAAAAAAAATTTGAACAAATTTAAGTTTAATATGATAAAAGTATTGTTTTAATATACATTTTATATTGATAAAATATTTTTGGGTATAGAGACGGATCCAGAAATCTAAAAATATGGGCCAAAAATTTTTAATACTATTTTTAATAAAATAAGTATTTTTTCTCATTCCTTTAATATATTAAACTATGTTTAATAATTTATCTAAAATGATGAGATCAAGTGCATCTGTCCGGATATAAACATATTAAATGAATAATATCATTATAATTTATTAAAAACTTTAATCGAATAATTAAAAGATTCTTCTAAAATAACACCTATAATAACATAATTACTTTCTTTACCTTATAATAATTTTCATCATCGCAGAATTTCCAAACAACTTTTTCCATTATATAAATGTAATATTTAATTAAATAATTATTTTGTCTCTTTTTTAGAACATTTTAACTCTCAACGTTTTATTTTTTAGATAAAAATATTTCTTTATAGATGAAAATAATTAATCAACAAACGATCAAGACATAGAACTAATTCAATATGTACATATAGACAAAAATAGTGACGTGGTATATCCATAGCACCATGTCACATTATTATATTAACAAAAATTCTTACACATGATATAATACTTTGTTATGTCAATGAAATATCATGTAATCACGACACATTAATATCTTTATTTAAACTAATTAGAACTAATTAAACGATAACCTATATCATCATATAATTGGATGGAGAATAAGAAATGAAGATATCAAAATTTACTGTTTAACAATGATTAAATTTAGATATAGTGAAAGAAACTTGAACGCTTTTTTTCTTATACATTTGAAATAATTATAAAATAATATATATTTTTAAAAAATTAATTATTTAACAATAAATGCTCTTTCCTTTTTAAAACCACTGTTCTTTTTTGTTTGTGAGCTAAGAAGATGGATATGGATGATAAAAAAAATTTGAATCCGACGGAAAAAATTGAAAATCTAATTAAACGGGAATGGAAACGGGGAAAAATCGTTTATGCTAAACGGTGACAGGTTTGATAATCCCTGCCCCGATTATCTGGCCTGATACCCGGCCCGATAAATATTAAAAATAATTATTATATATATATATAATATTAATAAATTTAATTTAAATTAAAAATATATATAATATTTATATATTTAATTTAAATATATATATACCCGGCCCGATACCCGTTTAAATAACCGTTTATGCTAAACGGAGATACCCGTTTCCCCTCGGTTTTCCCCGATTACCCGATGGGAATCCACGTTTAAATCCTCGTGATTTTTTAAGCATGGACGGGTATGAATTTTTTAAATGAAGACGAAGATGATGATCAATACCCGACCCGAATCCGGGCCGTTGACATCCCTGGAAGGCCAGCGTTTTTTTTTCTCGTTTATTTTAGCTTTTGTGACTGTTCACTTTTTGAGTTTTTGTCATTTCCTCTTCTTTTACTTTGATTTAATTCCCAAACACTCTTTGTGGGGAATATTACTCCCATTGAACTTTGAAAATAAAGAATAGGGGAGGAGGAAAATTATTTTCCCAAATAAGTCATTTTGAACAGTATCGTTGGAAGACGTCAGGAACAGTTAACGTCTTTAAAAAAACGATCAGAGTACACGGTGTCTTCAAGCTCCGGCTGAACCACCATGGCTATACTCCCTCTCTTCCTCCCTCTCTTCTCCTTCACTGCTGCTCTCTTCTCCTTCACCGTTTTAGCCTTTCTCTACCTCCCTCTCTGCTGCAGATTCATGTTTCAAGGTGAAAAGTTTGAAGACGCCATGTGTTCCGACGTCATTGTACTTTCAAGAAATAATTTTTTTTATTCCCCCATTTCAGCTATTCTTTTTTTCTAAGGCTCCATCGGAGCAAAATTGCTCTCTTTGTGCCTTTGCGGGGGTTATTTGCTTTACTTTAGTGAGTTACACCTACAAAACTTTTTTAAAAAAATAAAATCATTAATTTTATTTAAAATAAGAAATATCCTAAATTACAATAAATATTTACAGTTATAATCGTAAATTAAACATATAATTAGAATAATTTACTATAATCATTGAAACAAAACTAATAACTTAAGATCACATAAGGATCATACAAGGAAATATTAAAATCTAGCCAAAAAAACTCAAGCAAAGAAATATACAAACAGATCTTATCGAATCGGCAAACGAATCACAAAAGATAATCAAACTACTGAAAGACCATCGACAAACTGCAAATCAAACTCAAACGACATGAAAGGCTATCTACGAATGTATAACGGGTATTCAAATCCAATCCGAGAGTCCAAAACAAGGAAGATTAACAATGTAACATATAAGCATCTTCTTGATCGATCGTAATAATATTTAAGCAACCCTAAAAAAAGATAAATAAAAACAATCAACATTAAAATTAATGTCACCGTCAATCAACAAAAAAAAATCAACAATTTACAAATGAGAGAAAACTACACCCGGATAACTTCTATGTTCCCCTTCTTATTTTTTAATAAATACTTTAGCTGGCTTTCCACGTTCAACCCAAAAAAAAAATTTGAGGGCACATAACATAATACCGAATATCATACAAGATAATCTTCAGTATCGGGATAAAATAATAGGCGAAGATAAGAATGGCGTTAGCAGACAGCAGTTGACAATTACAGAATTGTTTAATCCCAAAACCATAACCCAAATAATATAATCCTTGCCTCCCTACTGACAATTTTTATATAGTTTCTATATAATATTTTTATAGAGCCAATGTTCCATAGTACTTGCACTCGTTAGCCACATTCTTCATGGAGTCCCGCTTAGATTTCGTGAGTAAAGATATTGAGAATGAAAACGAAGATGAGTTTGAGAAATCATTCAAGCAGATGATATCGACTCTCCCCAAAAGGAAGAGTTGGGGTAATCGTGAAGATTATTTTCAATATCAAGGCTTTTGGCTTCACCCCGCTTTCCTCAAAGGAGTTGTGTCAGCTCAACAACGATTCCACGCTCAACCCACCGATACCATCCTCTGTAGTATCCCTAAAACAGGCACAACCTGGTTAAAATCCCTCGTTTTCTCCATCCTTACAAGAACGTCATTCGATGATTCCACAACGCCTTTGCTTTCCAAGTTGCCTCATGAGGTTGTGCCTTTCATGGAGCTTTATCATGCAAATTTTCCCACTTATCGTGATATGGGAATTCCTGTGTTGGCCACACACGTTCCTTATTCTTCCTTACCAACATCGATTATCGATTCTGGTTGTAGAATTGTTTACATTTGCAGGAACCCCAAGGATTCATTTGTTTCATTGTATCACTTCAACGACACGATCCTGAAGTCCCAAAATGTTCAACCCCCTGATCTCGATGAGGCATTCGAGTTGTTTTGTGAAGGAGTGAGTGTCTATGGACCTTATTGGGACCATGTTTTGGGGTACTGGAAAGCAAGCTTGGAACATCCGAATAAGATTTTGTTCTTGAGATATGAAGAGATGAGAGAGGATACTGTTTTGTATGTTAAGAAACTGGCGGAGTTCATTGGTTACCCTTTGTCGTCAGAGGAACAGCAAAGAGAGGTACCTGAAAAGATTGTAAAGATGTGCAGTTTCGAGAATTTAAGCAACCTGGAAGTAAATAAAAGTGAGAAAGTTCGTGGTGGAGTGATTCAAAACAAGATTTATTTTCGGAAAGGGAAGGTTGGGGATTGGAAGAATTGTTTGACATCTGAAATGGCCGAAAGATTGGATCAGATAACACACCAGAAACTTAGTGGTTCAGGTTTAAGTCTTTAAATGGTGCAGAGTTTGTTCTCTGTTTTACTTCCCTTTGAATAAAGATTGTATTTAAACCTGATATCGTAATTTGAACTCTGTGTGATCTTTGTAAATTGTTCAAACTTATTTTTCAATTATTTGTGAAAACCGTGTGAAGTTTCAATATACTATGAGCAAAAACATTGCATTTCCAAGCAAATTTCTCATCTTTCACGGTGTTACTTGCAGCCGTTTAGAACACATTTGCCTTGAGAAAAGATTTTATAGACAATGAGTTTAATAATACACCTAGCATGTAATATTGATCAGAAATTTAAATTGCATTCGCGGTTGCATTTTTGGTGTATAATATTAAACTAGGTGTATTATCTCTTATCAAGATTTTATTATCGTATAGTATTTTCAATGTTTGTTTTAGACTCGACTCTTTATCTCTGGTGTTTTTCGGGTTCATTTTCTGCTGCAGTTTGATCTAAGATAATAGCAATGTTTTCATGTGTAAACGCCATGTGCATCATCAATCTCTCATGGCCTCCCACTGCAACTAACAAGTAACAACGTAATGCGGTAAAGAAAAGATTGCATAAATTAAGGCAATGTAAATATCTCTGGTCTCCCATGGCCTCAAAAATGCAGTTCGGCTCCTGTTTCATGGGGTTACTATATGATGGTTTTTCCATAGGCTGGTTTTAGAATTTGGGTAAATTCAAGAGGCTGCTGTTAGAAACATCTGCTAGTTTTGCTGCAATTCCGACCGATGGTTCATGCTATCAGTCCATGTTATGTCGTGAATTTTTTTAAAGCAATCTTGACATGAGATGTTCACTCTCAACTATATTCCTCCGACCGGCATATTTTCAGACAGACGTACAGATATAACTATTATGGAACTTTCACAAGTTTAATAAAGATCAGGCTGTCAAGAAATAGAACTATTTCATTGTACATATATTACTATTGCCAGCGAAAAGTTTATAACTTAGGGGCTGGGGGCTGATGATGAACTCTCACAGTATGAAAAATGGTACACATTACGGTTTGCATGTGGCACGGATGCTGGATGTGGATTGGGAATCCGACAATGAGACCGGCATGTCCGGCCTCAGTTGTGCATTCCTGATTACAGCACAATGACATGATCTACTGAATAGATAATATTTGTACATGTTTTTTGTTGTTTGGTGAAATCCATAACTATGTACAAAGCTTCGATACCACATTCATTCATGGCCAACGATGAATCTATTGCACAAGAAACTCAAAGTACCTGATCTGAGAATGCCGGACAATAGAAATAAGCCCAGCTGAATCCAGGCAAAGCATGTTTTGCTTAATAAAGTTTTATTCTGGTGTTGATGGTGCTCCGGCAGATGGGACACAACTGAAGGTCTTGTCCGCACTCACAGCAGGTCTGCATGGAAGTGAAATTTAGACATCCGTCCCTACGAGCCCGATGACGAAATTCGGAATATAATAAAACCCTTAGTTACGTTACCTGATGTCCACAACCAAAGGCCATATCTTTTGCATTGCAAAGACAAATAGGGCAAACCTGTCCAGAAAACATTCAAACTCAAACTTGTTTAGAGATTGATTTACAAGACGTGCAACTCTTAAGCAATTAAGATAAGATTACGTGATTATCTGAAGCAGAACTTGAAGGAGGAGCTGTTCGGATTGGTGCCTCTTGTATGGTGGAAGAAGGTGCACTCGGATGAAAACTGCTTGACCTAGAGGGTTTCGACTGGCTAAAGGAACCCGCACCATAAAGAGGAGGGGGAAGAGGAACCCTATCAATAGCCTTCCCCCCTGTATTACTGTTAAACCAATAACGAAAAAGAAGTTGCATTTGAATGTTATCTCCCTGGTAACAACGGGGAAAAGCCTTGTAAACCTACTAAGACAATACTAATTATTTACCCCAATATGTTGAGCTCTAGCGTTGCTTTGTACTGAGCCGGAATTTCCATCAACGCCGAAAGAGCAAACTCTGCCTCTTTTCGGGACCTATCCATATTCTTCGACATTATTTCCGTAAAATTCACAAACTACAGGAAGCAGCATTTCAGATTAGACAGCAAATACGAGTAATACATGTTACCTTTACCAGCTTCAAGAAGCTAATATGAGAAAATATTGTCACAACAGGCCACACTTGCCTGGAAATTATCAAAGGCACGGGCAGGAATGTTGTCGTCAAATTCTCTCATCATGTCCCAAGGTCCATCTCCAACTCCGACTAAAATAATTGACAAAGGATACTCACTGCAAAGTAATTAGTATATTAGGAAGTTGAATATTTAAGACAAAAAACATTTGGAGCCACAAGCAACCCAATAGTACCTTGCTTTCACGATCGCGTCGACTGTTTTCATTTCTTGGGGGCTTAGTTGGCCTCGCTCCGTATCGACACTTCTAGTCACCTGCACCCATTCAGTATAAAGGATAATCTAAGTTTGCAAAACAAGCAACAAAGAGTTCATGTAGAACCTGTTTGTTTACAAATCATCATACAACACAAAGCAGGTAAGTTACCTGCCCATCAGCTATTATCAGTAACACATGGTACTGCCCGCCACTTTGCTCGACAATGGTGATCGCCATTTCAATGATGGGAGCAAATGATGTTGGTCCTGTCAAAGAGAATAGACGTGGGAAAGGGTAGAGAGGAAGGAAAATATTGACTGACAACGGAATGAAGAAAAGGAAGAAGTGAAATGAATATGACCTGCTAATCTCAGATTAGGCACCAATTCTCGGTATCGTCTCAACACTTCTTCGAATCCGTTACAGAACATCTCATCTGGATAGAAGCTGAACACTTCTTGATCATGTGTTGATGCTGCCAGATCAAAGAATTCAGTATCATCTCGATTACAAAGAAGATTAACATTAAGAGATCCAATGGAAAATTCCCGCAAAAATGAATACCATCTCCGAATCCAAAGCAAGGAATTAAATTATCCTCATCAAAGGAAGACAAGGTTTTTCCGATAATGGATATTGCTTGTTCGTATGGATTTAGCTCATCTCCAATCTGGTGTAGACTTCTTCGGTGGAATGATCTTGCACCTATTTTAGAGCACATTAGAAAGTACTGTGTCAAAAAATAAACAACCAAAAAGAAAAAAGAAAAACTAAAAGTATCAAGAGAAGGTCGGACCTGTCCACTCATTGCTCTTTGTGAAATCAATACCAACAATAAGATTAGAAGACTCCAAGCCAGCACGGGCCAGGGCATCAGTGACCTGTGGAAAAAGAAGAGTATAACAAGCTTTTCTTATCATATCAGAAACACAGATCCACTAGGGTAGCCAAATAGCATAACTAAGCCAATTTCAATGCCAACCAATGTTGATATGATGTTATAAGCAACTTTTAGCAGCTGATCAATTTCAATGCCACATCCAAATCCTAAAAACCGACAATGGAAATGAGTTCTTTTACAAACACTTTGAAGTCATAATTTAAAGAATAATTCTTGTGTCAATACACCTCCACAAAACAAAACGGAGTAGCTAAAAGAAAAAAAAAACTAACATTTATTAGTAGTCAGATCTCTAATGTTCCCTCATAATTTACCTAAATGTTTATGTGAGAAAGTCATTCTGACTGCTACATACCTAATAAATAATAGGGATAATGCCAAACTTCACCAATATCGTTTGACTGAATAGTTGTTTTGGTCCGTATTCTTTTTGAGGCACTTCATCCCTCAACGTTTCATTTTGAATTAAAATGGCTCTTGATTGGATGGAAACCGTGATTTAAACTAGCAGAAGAGGGAGTGTCTACTTAGGATTAGGTTTTATATGTTCAGAAGATAACAAGAGTTTTCTTAAGAGATAAAGGTTAAGAAAAAGATATCTAGTTTAATTCTACTTTTATAATTCCCTTCCTTTCATTCGAAATCTCTCTTTCTTTCTTTCTTTTCTGAAATTCCCTTCCTTTCTTCTTCGAATATTCACAATATATTGGCCACAATATCCTATAAATAACAAAAGCAGGTGTCCCTAAATAGATGCATGTGAGGAGCATGCACAGCATTCTGAAACTTGCTAAACATTTCTTGCATTGAAACCACTGGGAACAACAAATACAATATACCTGCTCCAAGCTATTGTAGTCATCATCTATCTTCGAATATTTTCTATCCAACCTCCTCTTTGACTCAGGTGCATGACCACCATAGCTTTGAGGTGGAGGGGCATAATGCGGCTCCGAACCATAGTCTCGGCCTGAGGAACCATATGATGGCTGTGCGTATCTATGAGGATCCCATGAATAAGAATTAGACGCTACAGATGACGATTGTGCTTTGGTCGATCGTTTTGATGTTATGCCACCCATCAGCTCTAAAGTTTATGTATATCCTGCATGATTCAACATATTCAAACATGAATGAGGCAAAGAACCCAGTTGACTGCAAATAATAATGTATTTTCGCAGATATTATACACCTGAGATAAGGTTTAACAGATAATTCTTTCACAAACATAAGAATCCAACCACATTTACAGCAAGATCGAAGATGTATAAACAGTCCTAGCTGAAAAGTGAAAACCCATAAAGAAAAAAACTTTAACACGTTCCAAACTCTAGATCCATTCATCAAAAATCATAAAATTTCAGCAACACAACACAACAAAAGAAAAGAAAATCCAAACTCAAACCCAGATTCAAAGTCAACAAGAACAATTATAAATTAAATATTATAATATAATAAATGAAAAAAATAAAGAAAGTTAAGAGGTATATTATTTGTTTACCTTTTAAGCAAAAAAGAGGGGATTGTGAAGCATCATAGAGTGAGGGTGAGTCATTAGAGAAGAAAGAGAAGATGGAAGGTTAAGTCGGTGGGCGGAGAAGGCCATGTGTTGTAAGCTGTAAAAGTGAAGAAGATAATGGGACAGTTTCTTGGATGTTTCCTTTTAGATACATTTTAGATTAGATATTTTGTTCATCTTCAACTGTTGACTTTCCACCTCATTTTCAACTGCTTTCATGACTTTTTGTCTGATAACCGGCTTACCCACAGTTACTTTCCTTTCCTATTATATAAGAAAAAAATGTTTTATTAGATTTTTTTTACTTTTTTAATCAATGGGTTTTGGTTTCTTTTGTTGGTTTTTACTCTTTTTTTTTCTTGTTTTCTGGTAAATTTAGCAATTTGGGGTAATCCAATGCAAGCTGGTGAAGAAGATTTTGAGCTGAAACAAATTAGAGATATGGCTACTGCAAAGAAGATATGGGATGCCATGGTATATTCTCTTTACTCCCCAGCTTTAAATTTTCATTTCCAATTTCTTTTATCTGATTTTTTCACTTTAGTCACTATCATCTTTGATAAAGTAAGATCCCCCCTGTACATGTGTAATGAGGATGATTCTCATGATATTATTGCTAAATCTATTAAATTTAACTTTCATGTGGGGGCTTCTTGCTTTCTTAGTTGTAAGTTTTAGTTCCATTGTGTGTTTACAGATTAGGGAAGGAAAAGTAGAACGTTTGTTCTTGTTCTTTTAGGGGCAGTGTTTGTCATTGTCAATCTTAATGCAATAATTCTCTCAAAAGAATGAACTTGAGACAATAAATGCTTTGGAACTTAAAGGCTTTAGCGGATAGTTTCAAACAATCAGTTGGTAATTATTCGCTTCATCATTCCAGCAAAACGAGCTCGAGTATAGGTACTTCTAACATAATCCATGTTGATTTTGTTGCAGGTTGGTGTTATTGTAGTTGCAGATGCCTTGTTCATTGGTGCACAGCAACTGGGTCGCTATCTTCAGGATATATGGTCACACTAAGGTCATATTAATCTTCTTGAAGGCACTTGATTAAAGTTAAGTCGTCTAAAAGATGACAGTCGAATTCTCATTTGGTGACCGGAGATGTTTAAAGGATCACGATTTTGGAAAAGGAAGCCAAGCCATAGTAATTAGCAGAGTTCATGAAGTTGCTTGTTTCTTAGATTCAAATCCGTGTGTTTATGTATGTTCTCTATCACATTGCATGGGATATATTCTTTTGCCTATGCTGTCAGGGCAAATCTCACGGTCCCCTCAAATGGTATATGTTGAAACATGAAAGCCTTAGAAATTTAATGCCTCAATCATGACACGAAAAAGCATAGATTTATAAGCTCATGTAACTTAGAATACATATGGAGATAGATGAGGCTCTGCACTAGAAATGACACTGATTTGCTGCAGCAATTAGAGGGGAGTTTTTGTGTATGGTAATGCCGAACGATTCGGTCATGTCCAAATCCTTCTCGTTTGCTCCACCAGGCAATGACCAATCGAACTTGTGCACCAGATTTGCTAAGAACAGCTCATTTATTTGCATTGCAAATAGGATACCAGGACAAATCCTCCTTCCAGAACCGAAGGGAATCAACTCAAAATGATGTCCTTTGAAATCTATGGAATTGTTCAGGAACCTGTCTGGAAGAAACTCTTCTGGTTTCTCCCATGACAAGGGGTCTCTTCCGATCGCCCAAGCATTGATAATAACTTGAGTTCCTTCGACGATTTCGTAGCCCTGGATCTTGACATCTTTTGTTGATATTGTTGGAAGCAACAATGGAACTGGAGGATGTAAACGGTGAGTCTCTTTGATCACTGCTTTTAGGTAGTGCAAGTTGTCGAGATCATCCTCCGTTATGCTCAGTTTCCCACCGGAAACTTTCCTGACCTCGTTCTGAAGCTCTTTCATTACCTTTGGGTGCCTTAAGAGTTCTTTCATTGCCCACTCCAGGGCTGTATATGTCGTGTCGGTACCGCCTGAAAACATATCCTGGAAAGAAAGAAATCAAATTCATTAAGAAATGATGTCAACAACTAAAGTAAGAAATCTTACATTTTAATTTCTTAGTTCTTACCAAGATAAGAGCCTTGATGTTCATCCTTTCCATGGGAAAAGGAACTGTGTCTTGCCTCTGAATCTCAAGCACAACATCCACAAAGTCTTTTTGATCTTCACCTTGAATCCCTTTAAAATCATTTACTAGTTTGTTATGGCGATTCATGTGTTCATCAATCACTCCATCTAGAAATTCATCGAACTCCTTCGCCACTTTCTTGGCTTTAGCATTGAATCCATTGACATGGCTTACCCATGCAAGCCATGGAAGATAATCCCCCACGTCCCAAGTACCCAACAACTCTGTGAACTCCCTCAAAAGCTTCTTAAACTTGCCCGTATCTTCACTGTACTTTCTTCCTAAGGCTATTCTGCAGATAACGTTGTTCGTAGTAGTAGAAAAGAGTTCGCTCAGATTCACTAGCAAGCCTGAAGAGCAAGACTTTTCAATGTTCTCTATTGCTAGAGCCGTTTCTTCTTCTCTTACAGCTATATAAGATTGAACCCTTTTGTTACTTAGAAGATATAGGACGCATATACTTCTCATTTGCCTCCAATACTCACCGTAAGGTGCGGACGCGACGTCTTTACAATCGTAGAGAAGTTTTGAAAGAAGCTGCGTTTCGGTCTGGTTACGAATGCGAGATCATGAGTTTTCGTGATCTCACGGGCAGCATCAGCGGAGGAGACGACAAGTACAGGGACATTGCCGAAGCGGAGCGACATGAGAGGACCGAATCGTTTAGCTAAGACATGAAGTGAACGATGAGGGTAGCGTCCGATGTAGTGGAGGTTTCCGATTATAGGCAGTTTAGAAGGCGACGGCGGTGAACTTAATAGCTTTCTTTTGTTGGTTGAACGAATTAAGACGACGAAGAAGATGGCCAACGGGGAGAAGAAGAAGCAACATGAAATCAATAAGCTTTCATGTTGCTCTAAAGATTGCAGAAAAATTGGCATATCCATTACCATTCCACAACTTATTACCATGAAAAATGAAAGAGATCGGTCCATTAGATTTTATAGTGAATGATATTATGACAGGAATGAAAATGGTAAGAATAAATATAGAAAGAGTGACGTGGATGGCCTCGAATTCATAATTTGTGACAACCAAGACGAAGAAAAGGCGGCATCTGCACTAGGCCCAGTAGCCTTTCAGATTCTGAAAGGCTTTCTACTGAATTTGATCTCATTGGTTGCTTGTGGTGTTCTTCATTTGGTGTTGACCTCAGCCAGAGTCCGATACTGACATTTGTATTGTGAGTTATCCAAATCTTAAAATACCTTTCTCTTTTTATAATTTTCATACATTCATAATCAGATTTTTGTTTAATAAATCTGACAATTGAATTTTGTCTTCCCAAGCAATTTAAATATGTTATTTGTACCTTTGATTATTTATTTAAATAAAGATGAAAATTTTCACACATCTGATAATAATTTTAAAGATTAATATAAAATAAGTGTATAAATTATATTATTTTTTCATTTAGGTATCTAAATATTTTTCGATTCATTTAGGTATCTAACGTTTCAAAACACTTTTAGATGCCTCAACCGTAGATGTTAAATTTCACCAGTAAATGACACGTGTCGCGCTCACTTTTGAAAATTTTATTTAAAAGAACACAAAAACTATTATATTTTAAAATAACGCTCAAATTTTCACAAATATTGAAAAATTCAAAACTTTGAAAAACCTTAATTTCAATCCCTATATCCACGTCGGCCACTGCCTTTTGCCGTCACTATTGTCGTCGAATGAATCTAACCCTGACCGTGCCTCCACTCGATGACCACCAGCCCAATGAACAGTCATCGACAAACCCCAATAACAATTTAAACCCGATAGACGACATGAAAAAATCGTGACATTTGCGTTCCCCCACGAGACCCTACGACGGGAGCAATGACAAGGAAGATGTCGGTCAAAAAGGAAGACGGCATCAGTCATGGCTGACAAGGGAGAAAACTAAGGTTAGGGTTAAGAATTTGGGGATGATTTTAATTTTTTTTAGGGATTTAGATATTAGAGATTATAACAAATATCTATAAATAATAAATATTCATAGTGTTTTAGATATCATACTTAAATATGATAATTTTAATATTGTCTTGTAATGTGGTGCTTAAATATAACACTTTTAATATGTGACGTGGCAAAATTTTTGTTATGGTAATATAATTTAATAAATGATTGTTCTGGTGATATAACTTGACACTTCAAAATTTTCAAATCTTCTCTTGCCAGAAAATTTCTGCAACATCCAAAATGGTTAATGCAATGGCAGTTAAGAAACCTATATATGGAGCCACATTTCACCTATAATCCTTTCTTCTTTGGATGTCTTTTCTTTTGAAACTTAACGGCCACTTCTATTTTTAACCGTATAATATAACTCAGGATTGAAGGTCATGTTGCGGAAGACGACTATCGGATAGAGCAAAATCGCAACTGATAATTTGAGAAAATAAAAAATAGAGATAAAGAGGATAAAAATTTACGTGGAAAACCCCCAAATAATATAGGATAAAAATCACGGGCAACGGTAGAAGAAATTCACTATGAGAAAATAGGAATTACAACCTCTCTCGATCTAACAAGGAAAAAACAATGATAATTCTCTCTTAATAAAAAGGAGAAAACAACTCTCAAGAAACTCTCTAAATTCTCTCTAGTATTGGAAGAAAGCTAGAATGCTTTGGGATGGTTTTGAAGCTAAATGAGCTACGATATTTATAGTTGAAGTTTTAAGGACTAATTTGTAAATACCCTAAACTTTAGTGACTAAACTTTGTAATTTGCCCTTTCTCATTTTCAACAATTACAACCCCTTTTTTGACTTACCATATTTCGGTGGATTTAATTTACTTTTTTTCTCCAATTTCAACTTGTACGGAAAGGTGCATTGAATTTTCAATAATCTCCCACTTGAAGATTTGATTAGAACAATTATATCTTCATACCATTCTTTCTACCTAGTACCTTCATGTTGCTTACGTCTCTGACATGCCACAAGAGGATTGGCACCAAGTAAATTTATCAGCGTCGATCACCTTTGTCATGAAATCTGCTATGTTGTCTTTGATATTGATTTTCTACATATCTACTGTTCCTTCTTCCACCTTTTCATGAATGAAATGGTATTGAACTCGTATGTGCTTTGTCTTTGAATGAAATGTTGGATTCCTTGCTAGATGCAAGGCGTTTTGACTGTCACAAAACAGAGATACATACTCTTGATTGTGCCCAAGCTCCTCCAATAGCATCTTCAACCAAATTGCTTCTTTACTGCTTGTGTTGCTGCTACATATTCTGCCTCTGTTGTGGATATAGCCACAACTGACTGCAATTTTAAAACCCAGCTTACAGCTCCATCAGCAACTTTAAACACATATCCTGTAGTAGATTTACTTTTATCCAAATCCCCTGCATAGTCAGAATCTACATACCCATTGATTAGTAAGTTTGATCCTCCGTAACATAATGCAACATTTGAGGTCCCTTTGATATATCTCAGGATCCTCTTCACTGTATTCCAATGCTCTTTGCCTGGATTCGCCATGTACCTACTAACCACTCCCACTGCTTGTGCAATGTCTGGTCTTGTGCATATCATAGCGAACATTAAACTTCCCACTGCTGATGCATACGGTACTCGAGACATCTCCATCCTCTCTTTTTCACTGCTAGGACTCATACTGGAGGATAATTTGAAGTTAATAGGAATATGGGTATAAATTGGCTTACAATCTTGCATGTTGAATCGTGACAAGATCTTCTTCAAGTAATTCTTTTGTGAAAGCCAAATCTTCCTATTACTTCTGTCTCGATGAATTTGCATCCCTAGAATCTTATTTTTTGATCCCAAGTCCTTTATTTCAAATTCCCTAGCCAGTTGTGCCTTCAATTCTTCAATATGATCTTTGTTGGGTCCTGCAACCAACATGTCATCCACATACAACATCAATATAACAAAATCGTTATCACCAAACCTCTTGAAATAAGCAAAAGGGTCTGCATTAAGTCTATTGTATCCAAGGCACATAATGAAGGAATCAAATCTCTTATAACAACACCTCGGCGCCTGCTTTAGACCATACAGAGATTTGTTCAACCTGCAAACCAAGTTCTTCTTTTCTTTTTCTTCAAAACCTTCAGGCTGGAGCATGTAAATCTCTTCTTCAAGATTTCCATGAAGAAAAGTTGTTTTAACATCTAGATGTAAGTTCAATGTAGCACACATTGTCAAAACTACTCGAACTGTTGTTAGTGGAACCACAGGTGAAAAGATTTCATTGAAATCAGTACATTCTTTTTGAGCATATCCCTTGACCACCAGTCTTGCACGATACCTCTCAACTTGATCGTCACCATTTCACTTGATTTTAAAGACCCATTTGTTACCAATTGTCTTCCTTCCTTGTGGTAGTGGCACAAGGTCTCATGTATTATTTTTATGAAGGGCTTCGATTTCTTCTTGCATCGCCATCATCCACAATGAAGCATCTGAGCTGTTTATTGCCTCCTATCTGATTGACGAGTGCCAATTGGGACGTCTTCTCACACGATCTGATTGACGAGTTCTTGGAGCTTCAGAACTCTCTGGTTCTTGTTCATCATGTACTGGTTCTGCTTCAGAAGAATCTCCTTATTCAAACTCCTTTTCCACATGTATCTGTGTAGTCTCTGACTTTTCAGCGCTATTATCGTCTTTTTTTGTAGCTTATCTTCTACAAAGATAACATCCCTGTTGATGATCACTTTGCGGGCAGTGGGATCCCACAAGCGATACCCCTTTACTCCATCAGCATACCCCAAGAATTTGCATTTCTTAGATTTTGGATCCAGCTTTGAAATTTCTTGGGAGTTGTACATCACGTACACTATACTTCCATATACATGGAGGTTTGAATAATCAGCTGGTTTTCCAGTCCACATCTCCATTGGTGTCTTCAGCTCTATTGCAGTTGATGGAGCTCGATTCACCAAATAACAGGTGGTATTGACTGCTTCTGCCCAGAATGATTTTTCTAGGCCTGCATCCCTCAACATTGCTCTTGTTCTTTCTAACAAGGTTTTGTTCATCCGCTCTACCACTCCATTTTGTTGAGGAGTGTTTGCCAATGTGAAATGTCTTTTGATGCCTTCTTTCCTACAAAAGTCATCAAATTCTTCGCTTGTGTATTCTCCTCTATTATTTGTTCTAAAACACTTGATCTTATTTCCAGAATCAAGTTCCACCCGCGCTTTGAAGTTTTTGAAAGTTGAAAACACGTCTGACTTCTTCTTAATAGGGTACACCCAACATCTCCTGGAGTAGTCATTAATAAATGAGACAAAGTATTTTGCTCCGCCTAGGGATGTTACTGGTGCTTGCCATACGTCAGAGTGAACCAATTCTATAATACTTTTGCCTCTAGAATTTGATGTGTTGAATTTCAACCGGTGCTGCTTACTTGTTATGCAATGCTCACACAAAGTAAGTGATACCTTTGTTAAGCCTGGAAGTAGCTTTTGCTCCACAAGGACTTTCATTCCTTGTTCTGACATGTGTCCAAATTTCTTATGCCACAGCATTGCAGAATCTGAACTACATGAGGCAACAGAGGCTTCTGCTTCTAGCAATGTCTCTCACTTCAGCATGTACAAGTTTGCAGCTATCTTTTCACCTTTCAGCACCACAAGCGCTCCACGGAACACCTTCATGATTCCTTTCCGTGTTTCAATCTTGCTAGCATTATTATCCAATAATCCGTAGGATAATAAATTTTTCTTCAGACCTTTCACGTGCCTCACATCTCGAACAACTTTAATTGTTCCATCATACATCTTCAATTTGATGGTTCTCACGCCAACGATCTCTAAGGCATGATCATTGCAACTATACACAGATCCTCCTGAGATAGGTTCATAATGATGGAACCATTCTCTTCTTGAGGTCATGTGATATGTTGCTCCCGAATCAATGAGCCATATGTCTGCATATTTTTTTCTTCGTTCCACGGTGGTTGACGCTTCACAGCATAGAGCATCTCCATCATCTGAAGTGTTTACGGTATTACCTTGTGGATTGGAGTTTTTATTTAGACTCCAACAATCCTTCTTCAAGTGACCCTTCTTTCCACAGTTGTAGCACTTTAAATTCTTCTTGCTCCTCGACTTCGATCTACCATGTTTGTGACTGCTGCTTTGGCCACGTTCTGTTGATCTCCCTCTCATCGTTGTCATCATTGTTAACGCTTCTGCTTGTTACAGATTTACTTGTCTGTCTTCTTTGTTCTTGCGCCAATTTTCTTCTTGTATAATAGCAGCTGCAACGTCATCGAAGACTAGACTGGTAACATTATTGTTTGTCAAGTTGATAATGAGTTGATCATACGAATACGATAGACTTTGAAGTAGAAGTTCAGCACGTTCTTGTTCTCCTATTTTACAGCTTAAAGATGTAAGCTGAGAAAATAAAGTGTTCAGTGTATTTAAGTGCTCCGTCACTGAAGTAGATTCTGGCATACGGAGAGTGTACAATTTTCTCTTAAGAAAAATTTTATTGTACATCGATGTGACCTCGTACAGTTTGGTGAGAAGATCCCATATCTCCTTAGCTGTCTTTTTCTCCTCGATGCTTGACAATACTTCATCTGCTAATGCTAGATGAAAGTTTGTCATAGTATTCCCGTCCATTTTGATCCATTTGTTGTCATCTGTGAAATCCACCGGCCTTTCACTGATAGCTGTTAGACAACCGTCTTTCTTCAGGATAGCCTTCATCTTCAATTTCCACAATGAGAAATTTCTCCCATTAAATTTTTCAATATCAAATTTCGTTGCCATAGCTTCTTTTACGGATAGCTCCCACTATTTCACTATCGTGAATAGTTCTCTGGAACCTTCAAAGAATGGGTAATACCTTCTTACTTTCTTATGTTGGAGGATCCACCTTTTGGTGGTAACCACAAAGACAATAAGCAGATATTACAACTCAAATCTGGCTCGGATACCAATTGTTGCGGAAGACAGCTATCGGAAAGAGCAAAATCGCAACTTATAATTTGAGAAAATAAAAATAGAGATAAAGAGGACAAAAATTTACGTGGAAAACCCCTAAATAATATAGGGTAAAAATCACGGGCAACGGTAGAAGAAATTCACTATGAGAAAATAGGAATTACAACATCTCTCGATCTAACAAGGAGAAAATAATGACAATTCTCTCTTGATAAAAAGGAGAAAACAACTCTCTAAATTCTCTCTAGTATTGGAAGAAAGCTAGAATGCTTTAGGATGTTTTGAAGCTAAATGAGCTAGGATATTTATAGTTGAAGTTTTAAGGACTAATTTGTAAATACCCTAAACTTTAATGACTAAATTTTGTAATTTGCCCTTTCTCATTTTCAACAATTATAACCCCTTTTTTGACTTACCATATTTCGGTGGATTTAATTTATTTTTTTCTCCAATTTCAACTTGCATCGAAAAAGGTGCATTGAATTTTCAATAGGCCACGTATAAAGGTATAAGTAAAGACATAGATCGGTCATTGTACAATGTACCACATGTAAATAGAATACATAATAAGGAGATATTTTCACTAGAAAGAACATTGATTTGCAGTAGCAATTAGAGGGGAGCTTTTGTGTATGGTAAGACCAAATGATTCGGTCATGTCCAAATCCTTGTCGTTTGCTCCGCCAGGCAATGACCAATCGAACTTGTGCACCAGATTTGCTAAGAAAACCTCATTTAGTTGCATTGCAAGTTGGATCCCCGGACAAATCCTCCTTCCTGAACCAAACGGAATCAACTCAAAATGATGTCCTTTGAAATCTATGGAACTGTTCAAGAACCTGTCCGGAAGAAACTCTTCTGGTTTCTCCCATGACGATGGGTCTCTTCCGATCGCCCAAGCATTTATAAAAACTTGAGTTCCTTCCATTATGTCATAGCCCTGGATCTTCACATCTTTTGAACATATTCTTGGAAGCAACAACGGAATTGGAGGATGTAAACGGAGAGTTTCTTTGATCACTGCTTTTAGGTAGTGCATGTTATGGAGATCATCTTCCGATATGCTCGATTTTCCACCGTAAACTTTTCGGACTTCGTTCTGAATCTCTTTCATTGCCTTTGGGTTCCTTAAGAGTTCTGTCATTGCCCACTCCATGACCGTGTATGTCGTATCAGTTCCGGCCGCAAACATATCCTGGAAAGACATCAAGTTCACTCATTATGAATACGAAGCCGAAGTTCCAGAACCATATAAAATGATTCGACTATTAAAGTATGTATTCTTATACTTTAAATTCATTTTAAAGTGAAAACAACCCTGAACAACTATGTTATGCCAATATATCGGGCATCATTAAAAGATAATGACATGCATAATAATCGTTTAATAAAAACAAATAACATCAAAATTTTACGGTGAAAAACCTTTTTTGGGAAAAACTACAAGTAGAATAATAGAAAATTCACTAATGTCAAGAGAAAAAAAATACAATAAGCTCTAATACTAATCCTTAGTATCTATTTATAAGGATATATACTTAATTTCAATAGAAACTAAATAAAGTAAAAAAGTTACTTTAATAAAATTCTTTATTTTTTTAATCAAACTAGGTTTATTACTTTTTTTAATTAAATTGTGTCACTTCAAATTCTTACTTTCCCAATTAAATTGTGTCACTTCGAATTCGAATCAAACTTTAACAAACATTGATATATGGTGAGATAACAATTTTATTTCGACTGTTGTTAGTAGTTCACCGTTTCAAGTTTAGGTGGAGAGCCATAGTGATCAATGTTTCTATAGGAGAGAAAGTTTATTATAAAAAAGAAGAGGAGGTTGTACGTAGATTACTAAAGATTTGGTCCCCTGAGGGGCATTTATAATGACCCTTAGCCAGTGGTTCTAAGTATAGGATAATTATGATTATTTATTAGTTAAAGGGCTAAATAGATAGGGTAATAAGATCTTTGATTTCGTTTTGATATGTTATATTGAACCTAATGAATTTTTGTCTACTCATTATAATTGATTCGAAAGTTTAGGTACGAAGATACATATTCTACTAAATAAAAAATCTACCCGAAGATTTTGATTCACGAAGAATTGATGAGAGATTAAATTCCAAAAGTATAGTAATATGGTATGATTTATCGATAATATGAAAAATTAAGAAAATTGAATGAAGTTGTTAGTTCTTACCAAGATAAGAGCCTTGATGCTAGTTGTTTCTATAGGAAAGCCAACTGCGTTTTCCCTCTGAATTTCCAACAAAACATCGACAAAGTCTTTTTGGTCATTTACATGTTTGTTTTGACGATTCATATGTTCTTCGATCACTCCATCCAGAAATTCATCGAACTCCTTGGCCACTCTATCAGCTTTAGCATTGAACCCATTAACATGGCTCACCCATGCAAGCCATGGAAGATAATCCCCGATATTCGTAGTACCCAACAACTCTACAAAATCGTTCAAAAGCTTCTTAAACCTGTCTGCGTCTTCACTGTACTTTGTTCCTAAAGCTATTCTGCATATTACGTTGTTTGTAATCGCAGGAAAGAGTTCTGATAGGTTTACCGGCAAACCCGAGGAGCAAGACCTTTTAATGTGCTCCATTGCTAGAACCGTTTCTTCTTCTCTTATAGCTCGATAAGATTGAACCCTTTTGTTACTTAGAAGATTCAGTACGCATATACTTCTCATTTGCCTCCAATACTCGCCGTAAGGTGCCGTTGATACGTCTTTGTAGTCATAGAGAAGCTTTTGGGTGGCGCTGACTTTCGGTCCGTTTATGAATGTCAGATCATGAGTTTTCTTGATCTCACGGGCAGCATCGGCGGAGGAGACTACGAGTACAGGGCAATTGCCGAAGCGGAGCAACATGAGAGGACCGAATCGTTGAGCTAAGACATGGAGTGAACGATGAGGGTAGCGGCCGATGTTGTGGAGGTTTCCGATGATGGGTAGTTTTGACGGCGACGGCGGTAAAATTAGCTTTCTTTTGCCAGATGGACGAATTAAGACGACGACGAAGATTACTATTACAGATAAGAACAAGGAAGATGAAATCAATAAGTTTCCATGCTGCCCTAAAAATTGCAGAAAATTCAACATTTCCCTCACCATTCCACAAATTATTCTATGGAAGAGGAAAGCGATCACCGATAAGATAACTAGAATGTTAAATGGTTAGTTTGATGATATAATATATTAATAAAAGATAATAATTTCAAATTAACTCTTAAATTATAGATAAAACACTAATTTAATCCTTATATATTAGATAAAATATTAATTTAATACTTGAATTCGATCAAAATATCATATTATCGCTGTCGCTCAGCATTGTTGTTGATTGTTGCCGACCACGAACAACATGATCTCTTACCACCAATTAACGACAACTAAGAACGTGATGCTCATTTTATGATAAAATAAAAAAATTAATACTTATTTTATGATTTTTAAATTTTTAAAAATAAAAAATATTTTAATATAATTCAATGATGATTAATGTTTACCCTAATAATAATGACCTTTCAAAATGATAACAATAAACTATAGGGTAAACTTCACGTTTAATATTTCAAATATCATATTTGTTCTATTTTGATCATCTAATTATTTTTTTAAATCATACATAACATCACATTTTGATTTTATTTTGGTCACCTAATGTTAACAAATTAATAAAACTGTCGACATGATATTTATATTTTTTTCAATTATGATGTAATATTACCTTATGGTGATATACTAGCATCACCGTTAAATTTTTAACGGCATGTGACAAAAATAAAACTAGAACTAAACATTAAGCATTATTTTGAAAATAAATAGTTAGGTGACCTAACATAAAAAAATAATAGTTAAGATACTAAACTTATAATTTACTCTAAAATATAATAAATAATACGTATATATACAAATAAAGATTTTGGAGCATCGGTTAACAACGAAGTTTGTAAAATCGGCTGCCTCTCAAATTCGGGAGGTTTAAAACGAGTTTGCGTTTTAATATTTCAATGCTGTCGTTTCGCTGAGTTCTTCGTTCCACTTGTGGTTCTCCTCATCTGTCGAAATTTGGGATCAATTTGAGAGGTTTATAATGAATTTGATTTCAATTGTGATTATCTTCATCCGTTGTACACCACACTTTATTTGGGACCTGAGTCTTAAAATAAAATCTTTAATGGTTAAAGGAATAGACAACACATTTTATTTGGGCATGAGTCTTAAAATAAAATCTTCAATGGTTAAAAGAATAATTGTTATTCTTTAAGGATGAACTTAGAGGGAGCGGACGGAGGCAATCACTCCCTAAAATTATTGGTTTCCTATATATTTTAGATATTTTCTTTATATTTTCAATTGAAAATATATTTTCGTCCACTAAAATTTTATAAGTTATCTCATGCTTAAAATTTTATAATTTCGCCCCTAAATGAAATTATGTATCCATCCCTATTATTCTTAGAGATCTAGAGTAGGAGTAGGAGTACTAGTAATTATAGGGTATTTGAGTTTTCATTGTCAAATGATTGAAATTATTTAGAACATATACTATCACTTGTAATCACTTTAGATTAATAAAAGAATTAATTACCATTTTATTAAAAATTAATAACTAATTAAATTTATGTAAGAATTCTTATGTAATAGATTTATTATATATCAATTTAGCATTATTTTTCTTTTCGCTTACATATTTCTATCGGATTTATTTAGGTACATTTGTCGCCTTAGAATAATTGAAAGGTTTATTGGAAAATCTAACGTGCGGTAACCTGATATACGATTAAAAAAAGATGTTATTAGAAATCTTATTATTTTTTTAATAGTTTTGTTGAAAAATTACCCAAAATATTTTTATTTTTATCAGAAATATTATTATTGGGTGTTTTACCGGGTTTGATAATATATCCGGTAAAAAAATAATATTTTAGGTAGCGCTTTACCGGATATATTATCAAACTCAATAAAATTCCCAATAATAATATTTTCAATAGAAATAATAATAATTTTAATAAAAATAATAATATTTTAAATAAATTTTCATCAAAAATATTAAAATAATATTTATATTTCCGATAACGTATTCTGTCGGTAGAAATTCCCAAGATTCTTTCCTTTCGGATATTAAAAATTTGGATGGGTTTTCGAATAAAAATCTTCCGTCCCTTTTTGAGTCGCCTTACCAATAATTCAATGCCACGTGGATTAATAACTTTTACTCACAGACAGTTTGCTACTTGAAGTTTTACTGTTCTTACTGCTGGCTAGTGGCTAGTCATCTCCTTCATCCTTCTCCAATGAATGATCTCTATTTTGACACCTCTACAGGTTGCATCGGGATTTTGAGGAAAATCCGGCATTGACAATGGTGTGGTGGTTCTTTGGCGCCATGTTGATTATTTTGTTTGCATCGTTAGGGCAGAGCGATGACCCTTATTGTCTTCTCTTGTCATTTGTTTTCATTTTTTCCTATCTGCTTATCGGTTTTTAGCCATTATCACTGGTTTTTGGGCTAATCCTAGCGTATTTTTGTTTGCAGATTCTTTATCACCCTCTGTTTCATCGTCAAATATCGACGAATCTTCACATCATTGTACAAGATGGGTAGGTTTGGTGTTGCTATCACGTTTTATGTTCGTTTAGTTCAGTTATTGCCGTTTCATTGTTTAGTTTAAGGTGGTAATGGATCTCCTCTTTTGAGGACTGCCACTGAAAGTTCTCCATGGTGTGAGGCATACACGGTGAGGTTTACGACGGCTTCAATTCCTGCTATTTGGGTTGTTTCGCTTCTTGTTAGGACTTAAGTTTTGCTCCATAGTTTATGCTATCTCACCATGTGTATTTGACCTATTACTAATAAGAAAATTTTAAGTTTTCTGGATGTTAAATTGCTGGATTCATGGTGCTAAAGAACCACCACGCCACTGCCAACGCTGGACCTTCCTCAAAAATTTTGATGCAACCGGTAGAGGCATCAAAATAACAACCCATAAATGAAGATTGTTTGCTACAAAAGGGTGAAGCAGGTAACTAATCGGAGATAAAAAGGTAAAAGGCAAAAACGTAGAAGTTAGAGATAAGCAAACTAACGGTAAACTTTAGTGTCTACACCCAAACTATCTGCGTGTAAAAGATTAACAATCAAGGTCGGGGGGAACTGCAAAAGAATAGCATTCGTAACTTTATTTCCAGTGCGAAGAACATGTTGGATTTGAACACACCAATTACGACTCCCCAATTTATTAAGATGTCATCCTAAGGAGGGCATCCCATTGTAGTCTGATATAAGAATTCTTAAAGCATCCAAACTATCGAGCTCAAGAATTACCTGACGAAACCCGACATCCCAGGCAAAACGGAGACCAATCTACGCTCCCCAAAGCTCGGCATCAAGCACCGAGCAAACACTTGTGAACTTGGAGAACTCGAATTTCCAATTACCATCACTGTCTCTTGCGAACCCTTCGCACCAAGCATAGCCATCAGCTTCTCTCCAAGCAGCATCCGAATTAATCTTAATCTAATGTGGGGGTGGAAGCACCCAGGGTTGTGGACCACGAGGAATAACTGAAGCCTTATTAGGAATCATCTTAACCACCAAACGAGTCTGGATCATCAACTCAACAGGCCTAGAACTCCTAGCTATCACCATGCCTTCCCAATCAATAGGAGCATAAAAAATCATTGCATTTCGAGCTAGTCATATGTTCCACAAAACAGCAGCAAACATCAGATTCCATTCCCTTAGCAAAAGTCAAATTACCTTGTAGGTTAGCCACGAACCAATCCGACAAATCGAGAGCCTAGAAAGCATCCAACTTAGCCGGCAAAATCAACTCGTTCCCGACCTGGTAAGCAGCCGAGCAACGACGAAGAACATGGTCGATATCTTCACACACACAGCCCCGCAAATAGAACAACTAGCGCGCGTGGCAAAGTGGCCACGGACACGTTCATCATTCGTCATTAGTTTATGACAACACACAAACCACATAAAAATATTTGATCCGAGGCAGACCTTGAAATTTATGTATAATGTTCCAAAAGTTATTAGATGAAGGAATGTCATCTCCTTTGCGGACAACATAAGCCGATTTCACGGTAAATGAGAGTTCGTCGGTACATCGCCATCCAATACGGTCAGGATTTGTCGTGCATCGAGGCCCTTTCAACGCTGCAATATGCAGCAGAATATGATGCGGCAAAATCTTATTAAGGGCCAACGACATTCACCTTCATGGGTAGACATGTCACTAATTGAAGCATAGCAAACTCTATCGGCATTACCAGGAGAAACATAGTTTATGAAAGGACCAATATCTAGAATCCACGGATTATGCCAGAAATCAATCTCCTTACCCGAGTCAATTGACCAAACAATATTGTTTAGAACATCAATCTAGACAACGCTAAGCCCATTCTAGAGGAGCGAACAACTTGAGTTTTTAAGTGCTAAAGGAACACCTTCCTCACACGCGCGGAGGAATCTCACCCACAATTCATTCTTACGAGCAAGAAGATTAAAAGCTAGTTTCATTATAAAATGATTTACAAAATAATTGGTAAAACAAATTTCTAAAGACCTTTCTAAAGACCGAAAAATATGTATGTAAATTAGATATCTTACCAATCATATTATATCCTTCTATTATTATCCAATTTTTTATTAACATGAGGTAATTATAAGACAGTATTTATTTAAAGATAATTCTCAATTTTTCGACATTGAAAACTCACTCTTAATATCTATGATATTCGAACTTAGTACTCAAAGAATATATTCAATTCCTTATCATAAGTAGTCTATTATTTTTATTATAAATATACAAAACTTATAATTCCTGCCAAAGTAAGTTTTCGTTTCATGGTATAGATTTGCAAATGGAGCTGAGTGTAGCTAAACTATACAACGATTCATTGTTTCTCTCTCTCATTCTCCTTTTCCCCATTATAATTTGGCTCAAATTACAAGCAAATGGCAAAAAAAACCTTATTTCACTTCCATCACCACCAAAGCTCCCACTAATCGGCAACATCCATCAACTCGGCAAGCTTCCCCACCGTTCCCTCCGAGACCTCTCGACGAAACATGGCTCACTCTTGCTACTTCAGTTGGGGCATAATCCGACGCTGGTGGTTTCATCGGCCGACATGGTTAAAGAAATCGTCAAAAACCATGACGTTGCTTTCTCAGGCAGACCAAGAACCACCGCGGCAAATATCTTGCTTTACGGTTGCACCGATGTTGGTTTCGCACCGTACGGTGAGTATTGGAGACAAGCTAGGAAGATCTGTGTCACTGAGCTTTTGAGTCTTCAGAGAGTTAAGTCGTTTCAGTTCATAAGGGATGAAGAAGTTGAAGTCACCATTGATAAAATCCGTCGAGCTTCTTTAAACGGAGAGGCCGTTAATCTGTCGGAGTTGCTGATGTCTGTTTCAAACAACGTCGTTTCGAGAAGCGCTCTCAGTCGGAAATACGAAGACGAAGATGGTAAAAGCAAGTTCGGGTTGTTGGCGAGAAGGCTTTTGATTCTCATAATGAGTTTTTGCTTTGGCGACATGTTTCCTTACTTGAACTGGATTGATGTTCTTCGAGGATTCAAATCAAGTCTGAAACAAGTTCATAAAGAAATGGATACATATTTCGATCAGATCATCGAAGAACATAGGGAGAATAAATATGGCGAAAAGGACATTTTATCTATCATCCTCAAACTCCAAGAAGATAGCTTGCTTGATATGGAACTCACTCCAGACAACATCAAAGCAATCATACTGGACATGCTGGTTGGTGGAACTGATACAACTTCAACAACGCTAGAATGGGTAATGGCCGAGCTAATGAAAAACCCAGACGCCATGAAAAAGCTTCAAAAAGAGATAAGAGATGTGGTCGGAAACAAATCAAAGATAGATATGAACGATGTGAATCGAATGGATTACTTAAAATGTGTGATCAAAGAAGCTTTAAGGCTTCATCCAGCTGCTCCACTTCTTGTTCCTCGACAGACAACATCAAAGGTTAACCTCGGAGATTACGAGATTCCTGCGAATATTACAGTGTTCTTCAATGTGTGGGCGATTCACAGAGACCCCGAATTGTGGGAAAAACCAGAAGAGTTCATCCCGGAAAGATTCGAGAACAGCAGGGATGATTTCGGAGGTCGAGAGTTAGAGTTCTTGCCATTTGGTTTTGGCCGAAGGGGATGTCCGGGAATTGCGTTTGCAGAGGCGTTCATTCTTTACCTGGTTGCTAATCTTCTGTATTGGTTCGATTGGAAATTGGCTGATGGTGAAAATGCAGAGAATTTGGACATGGACGAAGTCTATGGACTCACTGTCTGCAAGAATGTGCCGCTTCGTATTCTGCCCATATTTACAAAATCCGACAACAGGTTGAGTTAACTGAATTTTTAATTTTCTGTTTAATTAGTTGAATCATCGGATTGATGCTTTTGTAATTTTAAGTTGAATAGGTAGTTATTACAGTAAACTTGATGAATAAATAAACATAAATTAAACATTTTCATATATAATATCTGTTTAATAATATAATATGATTATACATTAATATTTATTTAAAATCTTCTTTAATTACTAAGATAAATTACTTGTCTTTTCAATTTTATTAATTATAGTATTAGATTTTAGTTTTATATTTAATTGTGTCACATCGGTTATATGTTGCGCAAGTTTAGTACAAAAACATTCATATTTTACTTATTTTTCTTCTCTCAAATATGATTTTTCATTAAATCCACTTAAAATCGACGAAATACATTAAAAGATTAACATATTAAAATTCTAATCTCTTTTGATGATAGATTGATGAGGTTAATTTTGAAATATGTTATCTTATCAAAATAATATTTTTTACTATTTAGATTTTTTAACAAATACTTTAAATCCCGTAAATCAAATAAAGTCTTCAAACATACAAAAAAAATGATAGATTTTTATGTTTAATTTCGTCGATTTTAAGTGGGTTTTATGAAAAACTAATCTTATAAGAAAGATTGAAGAGTCAAATGCGATCATTTTGATATCTATTTTGTTGCGAAAGATGATCGATGACAAGTGATTATTTATTGCCGACAACCATAAAAAATACAGTGATAAAAAAACTATTTAAAAGTTCAATAACATAATTGATACACTCTTAAAGTTTAATTTCTAAAACGACATAGTTTGAGGCATCAGAAAAACCATTTCAAAACGACATCGTTTTGGTGTGACTTGCCACATCAGCAACCGTTAGCGATGTCATTGTTTCACTACTGACTTAACGACGAAATGATATAATTGAATGTAAAATTAATGTTCAGTGTTATAATTAATAAAATTGAAAGCTCAATAGTATAAACGGTCAACAAACAAAATTTATTAATATTTGATATAATTTACCCTAACTATTAATAATATGTACACACTAATTATTTAAATTTAAAATTATAAAAAAATAACATTATTTAATAAGTTAAGAATCAAATATGATGATAATTTTGGTAGAAAATATCCCAACTCTCTTAGGATCCATTGCCATTCAATTTTTTTTGTCTGGTCATATCAATTCAGCATCACCATCACCATCACCATCACACAGTCTTCCATTTCATAGAGCCATAGTTTCCACACAACGCAAATGATTAACACAACACTTCACATCAGCCATAGCCCCTTAGTCAAATTAGTCCCCACACCTCACAATCACTACGACATGACTTGTAAATGTATTCTCCACCACCCTATTAGCTCCTACAATATCAACAAATCATTCAATGTAACCACCATGCATTGTCTACCATCACCATTATTAGGGTTTTCGGTCTGGGTTAGATCAATGGGTCATTGGACTCCTCTAGTTGGGTACTTGGGCCTGTTGTACTTGGGTTAGTTTTATTAGGTATTGAGTTGGTTCAGGGTAATTGGATTTCTAATGTAATTGAGTTAGTTGGAGGGGTCGAACGAAATTATACTATTACAAATGTCCATCTCTTTTCATTGGCGTGGAACTATGATAGGCCAAAGATCAAGAGGTGACTAATTACGTCTCATTCAACTTTGCTGAAATGATATTTATGTAATTTAGGTATGTTTTATTGATAATTTAATTTCACACTTATGATATTGTGTATTATATATCTTTCAAAATTTTTATATAACATCTGAAGTTCACATTCGTGATATAATCGTCCGTTTTTTCTTACAAATAAATGAATCGATTATGTCGGGGACGGTGGGATTATTTTTCTTATTATATGCTACATTAGTGTAATTTGTTGCAAAAGAATCAAATAATTTAATGTATACATATCGGGTTGAAAATTTATTGACTTCATGATTTTGATGAGCGTCTCCCACCATTAAATTTGCTTTTGCAAGAAACATAAGGCGAGCTACGACATGCTGTTGGGACATTATTGTCGTGCTTTCCCCATAAATATGGACACATTATCTGCGTTTGTTGAATTTTCTCAAGAAAATGACAGAAAGTTGATGCTCTCAGCCTCTCCTCATTGCATACGAGACTAACTTCTGAAATGTTGCCTAGCTTGAAAGACCAGTCCGTCACTTGTTTTCTTTCACGTATTGGAATATAATTTACATGCATATAGATTTATATATGAATGGAGTGTTTAATAATGGCGGAAAGCAAAAGAAAGAAGAGTGGCCTAATAATACGTTGAAGTGCAGAGCAGTAAGCTAGTACTGCAGCAAAGCTAAAGGGTAAAGCAGCAGGCAACTTTTGAATCTTTTGAAGAATGATTAGTATATCATCAACTACAAAAACACAAAAACCATCATCACACCTCGGCTTCTGTGCATATTATAATCTGGACTTCTATTTTATTTTAATAATTTATACTGAAAAGATGGGAAGAGGAACTTTACGATTGGACGAAGAAGATGTGGGTAGAATGAACTTCAAAAAGGTCAGTCAAGTGTGGAACAAATTGTAAGAGTGAAGACTGTATGAGCCGGCAGGAAATCAAAAGCGAAAAAGCAGTCAACAAATAAGAAAGAGCATTGTTTTATCTGGATTTGGGATTGTTATTATTATTATTCTGCTGTTGATGACCTCGATGATTAGTGTTTAATACATTTTATAGGGATGAATCTGCACAGATATGTGCACCAAAAGCAAAATCAGTGGGACATGTTCCACCCTTACAGAATAGAAGCAAATTAAAGTAGAAGATGACTCTAGCCAAGAAACGAAAACAGAAGAAATCAAGAGGGAAAGGAATTACAAGCTTTAATTTTTTTATACAATTATTTTTTTGAATAATCTAATCTAATTACATATATATAACTATTTTGTGATTCTTTAAAGAAAACGATATCCACTCGATAATTTTTTAATAATTGTAACTATTTAAAAAATATTTTGAGGGCGATTTGATCGGCAATTTTCTCAATAAATCACCAGTGATCGATATATTTACCGATCTAACATCGGTCAGATTATATTTCCCGATCTAACACCCGTAGTAGTAAAGCGCGCCCCCTGAACTGCGTTATACGCTGATTTGGCGTCACGTGGGTATAGCGCGCCCCCTGCTCCGCGATATACGGTGATCTGGCGCCACGTGGGTATAGCGCGTCCCCTGATCCGCGCTATACCTGGGTATCTGACACGTGGGGTATAGCGCGGTGCAGGGGGCGCGCTATACCCCTAAATACATATCTCCATCCTCAATCACTTTTATCACACCAAATTCTCTAAATTTCTTTCAAATACTCTATCTTTTTAAGGTATATTTTATAATATTTTTACTATTATGTATTTACTTTATTTAATATTTTACTAAAATAATTCTTTTATAGATATATAATGGAATGCAGTCTACTTCGCTCGGATGGAAATCATATATCTCTACACTTTGCTGATACGGTAACATTTTAACGTTTTAATTTAATTTAAATTATTAGTAATATTTAGTTGATTTATTTAATGCATGATTATTAGATTAAGAATTAAATATCTCGACACTTTGCTAATACAGTAATATTTTAACGTTTTAATTTAATTTAAATTATTAATAATAATTAGTTGATTTATTTAATGCATGATTATTAGATTAAGAATTAAATATCTCGACACTTTGCTGATACAGTAATATTTTAACGTTTTAATTTAATTTAAATTATTAGTAATAATTATTTGATTTATTTAATGCATGATTATTAGAGTAAGAATTAATTTTTGTAATTATTTATTTTTAGTAGAGCGGTGGAGGCCGGAGACCCACACATTCCATCTTCCGTGCGGAGAGTGCACGATTACGCTTGAGGATGTTTCTATGCACCTGGAGCTTCTGGTAGATGGAGATGTGATATCGGGGATAGCTTCCAGTTCTTGGACTACTTTGTGTCGGGATAGTCTAGGACGTGTCCCGGAAAATTTTATCGGAGGTAGGATACTGTTAAATTGGTTAGATGCCAATTTTCGGGAGTTGAGCGCAGATGCCTCTGAGGATGAGGTTAAGAAGTATGCAAGGGCATACATACTGCAGTTGATAGGAGAGTTGCTGATGCCGGACAAATCGCGCAACCTAGTTCACTGCATGTGGTTGCGACATCTTAGCGACTTTCGTCTCGCCGGATCATTCAGTTGGGGCTCGGCAGTTTTGGCTTTGCTGTACAGGGAGATGTGTGGAGCCAGTGACTACAGACGTAATGCTATCGGCAGATGTCTCCTGCTGCTGCAGTCTTGGGCATGGTATCGATTGCCCTTTTTATTTCATGTTGTGAAGAACCCATTCGTATTTTCACTACTTCTGAGGTAATTATAAAACTGATTTTGTATATTAATAATTTTATACAACGTATAACAATTTTTTTCCTTGAATTGGTGGTCTACTGATAGGAAAAATCATCAGGAGCTACCTGATGATTTAGAAAAAATTAGGGTGCTAATCGATCAGAAGGTTGGCACGCATGTTTGAATTTTAATGTATAAAAATCGATTTTAGATTATAGTTATATAATTAGATTATTATTTTGATAAAAATTATATATTATTTATTTTAGTTTGAATGGGTGACATATTCTACTGATGATGTGAGGGCGGTGATCCCACCTGAGTTGAGGGGTCCATCAGATGTTTGGATGGTGATGGTCCCTCTGACCTGTTATGCGACCGTCGAGTGGTACTCCACTGATCGCGTGCTCTGGCAGTTTAGTTGTTTTCAACCAATTCCGGAAACACCTCGCAATATGGACGAATTGCATATCTTAGATAGACGCGACACAATAGATACAAATTGGCTGGTGAGGCATCATGGGTGGGTCGTGTTGTGGGAGGATTGACATCGGCGCCTTCCACGTAGAGAGCCAATTTTTACTGACTTCTTGATGTATGCTGAGGATTATTATGAGTGGTTCAACAGTAACGGGAAACC